TATACTCCTTTTTCGGAACATAGCGATTTTTATCACGTTTAAACATATCCTTCTTCATCCCGGGACAATCTGGACATATTTTTTATCGCACCTTGTATATCCATCGTCAACAATGAATATGAATTTCATACTACTGGAACTACAATCGTAATTTTTCGAGTTTCATTAATAATCCTAACGAAAATGCATCATTTCGATTGAAAATGCGTACTTTCACTATATGACCTTCGATCCAAGAAATTACAAAACCATCAAAACACCAGACATCCTCATGACGAAGTAACACTACATTATTCCACTAGTAACACAGAGAAAATCATGTTTCATCTACTGAAGTTATTCTCCATTCCATCATTCAGTATTTCTTGTATCACTTGACTTTTTCAGAATTTTTTGTGTTTAAACACAATCACATATCCGACTATACATACAACGTTGATTCTTCGGAGAAGAATTCCAATTTTCAATTTCATTCAATTAATCGTCGAAAAAATGCATCATCCTGAATGAATATTCATAACACGATTATCAAAGATCTGAATTTGAAAATTCCGAAAACTTTTCGAGAGAAAGCATCAATCAAGAGGATACAGGTGAGAGAAAACATTTAAAAAATTATCTGTTCAAACGGTAAGGTGACGACCACGATGCAATTTTACACCATTCAATTATCACCCTATAGCAATGTTATTTGAAATCACAGAAGTTTCATATTGCCACAACAAACTGTCAAGAGATTAGGCTAATCATCGGTGAAAACCGATTTCAAATTGATGAGGAAATTCATGAGTTATTCTACTTTGAATTCAGGCTATATTTCCAAGAATAAGAATGTGTTTGAAGAAAAATTGTGAATCATCCTGCAATCTACACTTCTGGGTACACCACTGTTTCGTGAAATAAATTGCTTTCGAAAGATGTATTTATTTTATATGGACAAAAAGGAATTGCTTCTTAAAATGATAGGTGATAAAGATAAATTCATAAAACAATATTCGATAAGTTATTTATGAATCATTATTGATACTAGTTAACAAAAAAATATCAAAATTTATATACGCGTAAGTTATCATTCTGTATAGTTTCCATGGACACTGTTATCTTTGTGAAACAAAAATTATTTGTCAATGTTGATTGTTGACATAGGTTAGTACCAGATATCTTGAAATCGAATTTCAATTCATTTATTAAAAGCCTGCTTTCGGATGACCTATTCTCTTTTTGGAATCACCATGAATGTGTAAGTAATACAGGTGAGATGGCGAAACATCAAAAACGAAATTTAAGAAAATAAAATTAAAGAAAGGGTTGACCCCGGAAGGAGAGATAATAAGCTATAAATTCGTATACAGCTTCATTTTGATTCTCTAAAAATTGTCTCGGAAGTCTCATATCATCTCGTGTCTGCTTCATAAGTTAATGAAGGTCAAAGGTCAAAAAACTCGGATTTTTGCGATTATCTTTTTTTTATGTTCTGGTTTCCACGAAAAGGGATATCCTGTAATGTTCAGAGAACATCGTGAGAACCAAGGGAAATAAGGTAGGAATTGGTGTTCTTCTTAAATTTCTGTAGGTTATATGCCTCGGGGAACACCTCCCTTGGCAATGTGTTCCAGAGCCTCGCTGTTCGTTGGATGAACGATTCTTTGAAAAGAGATGTTCTGCAGGTCTCCAAAGTGACCACGAAGGGGTGCGAAGCCTCAACTCGACGGGTTAATCTCGCGGGGACTGCCAAGGAAGGAACAACTGTTGATATTTCAGAAGAGCATCGTCCATGAAAATTTCTATAAAATAGAGCCAGATCGCCAACTCTACTACGGCGTTCCAGAGAAGTGAGTGAGTTTGTGAGCGAGGCATCACCCACGGGACGAATTGCCCTTTTTTTGACAGAATCCAACAGTTTCAGGGTATGTTTGGGTACTACCCTCCAAATATGGGAACAGTATTCCAGGAAAGGTCGGATCTGTGTCTTATAGATCGTAAGCAGCTGACTGGAAGTGAAAAAGCTCCTTCCTACAAATTCAACGTCAACTAAAAATATAAGTTGGTTCAGATGATATTATTGTGATAGATACAACCAATAATTTGTGAAAAATGTTAGTCAAATCAAACTTTGTTTGTTTGAGAAGTGATATTTTCCTTCGTCCCTATTATGGGACTATCATCCCCAGGCGGTGAATCTTAAGAGGTGGCAGAGAAAAAGAGAAAAAGCAAGCAGCAATATACTCGTCGCCGACGAGGCGACAAGTATATCATAAGTATTGCCTTTTGCTTTTCATATGCCGTCTCTAATCGTGTCGCCTTTTGAAGCAATCACGCAATTAGCGACCGCCGGCAGAAGGTACCTTTTTTTTTTTTCAGATAGACTTTATTGATTCAGTAGTAATGTAGTACTCGTACATGCATAACATAGGTAGGTACAATTCTTATTTAAAATTATTTTGGTATAAATAATAATTATAATCTTTCCCACTCCATTGAGGAAACACCTAAGCACCGTGATGCTTGTATTGTATATCCTCCAAGGAGTATGAAAAGCGTATGGACTTATGTCAGAACTAGGTACCTATTTTACCTATAATACTAGAAAATTTGGGAGTTCAAAAGGACTAGGTTGGGATTTGGGATACTGTTCTTGTGGAAATCATAACAATAACATTCACTATCCAAGCTTCAGATGTGACTTGGACACTTCAATACAATATACAATAGCGGCTGCGGTATATATACTTTTATTTGATGAAGAATTCAAAGCCAGAGTTCAGTGCGGCGTTGCCAGACCTACTGTTTCTACAGTAGATCTACTGTTCAACTGTTTTAGGCATGAAAACTACTGTTTTTTCTTTTTCTTCTCGTTAAACCAGAAGTAAATTTTGAAAATGATAAAATTCCACACAAGCCGTTGTAGAAATTATGTACCAAGCATCAGATTATTGAACCATCAACAATTCTCAACTCACAACAGTTTTTAATTTCCATTTTGGCTGTTGCCTACATGCCATAAGTATCACAGTCATCTCACGTCATCGGGTTCTGCCCTGTCAGTATGGTGAGTAGTGGCCAGTTCAGCCATAATGTGGGTTTGCTCCATATTAAAAATTATCTATCTACAAGGCAATAATCGTCATGTTTCAATATAATATGTAACAAAGAACCAATCAATGGGGCATCACAGTGAGAAGCAGGAGAAGCTGTATTTACAAAATATACTGAAATTATCAGGTACCTATGTATGAAAGCAAAAAAATAATGTTTTATCTTAAATTTTGACATAGGTTTTTGTGTTTTTTTTTTCTACTTATAACAGCAAATTGTAATGAATATTAAAATCTACTGTCTAGTTTCGATTATCTATACTGTTTTTCCCCACACATTTACTACTCCAGCAAATTTTCATCTGGCAACACTGGTTCAGTTTTCAGTATTCAATAGGTTGTCGTTGGTAATGATAAATATCGAAACTGACACTGAAAATCAAGAAAAGTATATTGTGCAAAAGTGGGGAAAGTTCAACTTCTCTCACGAGTGTGGAAGTTTGTGGCACGAGCCTGAACGGCGAGTAATGCAAACACACGAGTGGGAAAACTACTTTTCCCAACATGTTGAACACTATACTTTTTCTACAACTGCACTTATCCAAAGAATCCAAGTAATGTAACTTATCGGTATTTATTTCATAATGTGGCAATATGCCACATTGAATATTGTGACCAAAGACTAGACGCCTCTCCTAGTTCCTCGAAGTATTTCAAAAAAGTACACTTTCCGAAAAAGATTTCATTTCTGTATTTTTTCTAGATCCCATAAATTCTTCGTATGTGCCAATTCATACTTTTTTCTTGAAATTTCCGGAAACAAATCCAACTTTTGTAGCTTTTTCCATTATCTCTGTCTCTGGCGGTGTATTTATCAAAATCGTCACATCTCGGTAAATACATCATATTGTTTATTATGAATTGTTGGAATGATATTTGATGAAAAATGCGATTGCTATAGAAAGCATCAATGAGAAATACCCTAAAGAATTTAAAAAACTTCTTCTGACAGTTGTGACAACTATTCAAAGCGGAACAGCGGCCAATTAAGTTTCGGTCGATTTTTGTTGATTCTCCATGGAAATTTATGTGGTGTTGGCAAAGTACCGTGAGAAGAAATATTTCTCACAGTATGAGCAAGACATGGTTTTGAAACTAAGTAAGCTATGAGAAATGTGCTACTTCTCATAGCAGTAGTAGAAAAAAGTATTTAGTATTTATCAGAAGAAAAACATTTTTTGATTTTAGGTTTAAGTTGTGAAGTAAATATAATTTTATTCGATATACGTAATGATTTTATGTTATTGCCATATACTGTATGCTGTGAAAAAAAGCCGTGAACGGGTATTACTAGGAATTTTGAAACTGATCATTGAAATTTATTTTTTGGCGGCGGCGCGGCGACATCGTAATAGTTAGCCCCTGGTGTAAGTGAGTATAAATCCGGCACTGTCATCACTATTCAGCACGCTGATAGTGACGTCGTCTGGTATATAGGGTTTGTAAATATGCATCCAGGAGTTTGTAAATATGCATCCACTATTCAGCACGCTGATAGTGACGTCGTCTGGTATATAGGGTTTGTACATATGCATCCAGGAGTTTGTAAATGCATCCACTATTCAGCACGCTGATAGTGACGTCGTCTGGTATATAGGGTTTGTAAATATGCATCCAGGAGTTTGTAAATATGCATCCACTATTCAGCACGCTGATAGTGACGTCGTCTGGTATATAGGGTTTGTAAATATGCATCCAGGAGTTTGTAAATATGCATCCACTATTCAGCACGCTGATAGTGACGTCGTCTGGTATATAGGGTTTGTAAATATGCATCCAGGAGTTTGTAAATATGCATCCACTATTCAGCACGCTGATAGTGACGTCGTCTGGTATATAGGGTTTGTAAATATGCATCCAGGATGAATATCTAATGAACCAAGTTCACTGAGCCATTTTTCTCTGTAATGACTATAGCAGATCGAGGAAACAGGAGAAGAAAGAAATATGATTCGGAGATGGGTTATATTTCACATCAACGCTATTCCTTCTACAAACTCATATCAAACAACAATATTTCATTGCGTAATGTTATCGAGAATTTGTGGTAAAAACGACATAACTCTAGTGTAAACACCCTGGCCGTAACCACATTTGAGTAGGCCAAATGAAGTGAGTCCCAGCAAATAGATTCTTCTCTCTTTGCCAGTGCGAATCGACTTAAACATTGGTCCTCCAGAATCTCCATTGCATGAATCTTTACCTAAAAAATATCAATCATGGGATTAGATAATAAATGTGCCTGTGGTAGATCTTGTGCACTACATCCCCATCATCATGAATTTTACGATGAACAGTGTATATACGAGGTGTCTCAGAACAACGTACCATAAATTCTACTGAACTGAAGACCAAAATAGGCCGATTAAAATAAACTTCACTCCATACGAAATTGCATCGTTGAGCCGTCGTGAGACGGCGATGAAGAATATTTTTATATTCAGATTTTCTGCAATATTTCGAAATCCTGAATCCTGCTCTGAAATTCGTAGGGCAATTTACTATAATGAATGTGCATGGGAAACATTTCGTAAAAATTCAATCAATATACAAGGAGTCAGGTATTTCGCATTCTCTTTGATAAAAACTAATGTTACTTCTTTGGCACTGATGACCACATTTTGATATCTCAAAGAATTTCCGAGATAAAACAACAAAATGTATTTCGTGCTTCTCCATACTAGAGTCCCTGTATATACCTTTTAGACAAGAGTCCGGACACAAAACTGACAGCCGTTGGGGTTTTTAATATTTTGTTTTTTTTTTTGTTTGCTCACCTGACAATGTTTCAATGTCCTGCTGCGTACATTATTGCGATAATTCATTAGAAAAGGGATTCAAGTTATTCAATTTTCCGAATGATCCTTCAAAGATCCAGAATGGAAAATTAATTTCAAGAAATCTGCAATATGTGAGGTATACCGGGTGACACATGAGACATGTAGCAACCTGTAGTTTTTTTATTTGAAGAGATAAAATTTTGAAATTCACAGGGGGTATGTAATAAATGGTAGCGCACTTTACGAACTTAACGACAATTTTTTTCAACCACCTGTTTGACCGGAAGGGACCCCAACTTTTTTTTTTAATCGTCACCTTGTACATTTCTTTAGTCTATCTTTTTCGCCTTGAAATTCTCTATACAACCATGTATCACAAAGTGGCATTTATTTCTCAATTCGCTGTTGAATTGCTTTTTATTCAAAAAGAATAAGTTGGCTGTGACATGAATTGGATAATATATCGACACTTGGTAGGCTTCGAAATTTAAATATCATTAGGAAACCGATATTATTCAAAATGTTTTGATATTCTGATCAATGTCTGCAGGTTGTCAATAGCTTGTTTGAGTCAAGATGAAAACCTTCGAAAATAACTCATGATATTGGGAAATCTAAGATAGGAACATGTTTTTTCGTATTCAGCTACTCGTACAGAAACTATCTGTCTTTTATTTTCGCCATGTACCTATCACATGATCTTCCCATTTGGAATAATAAAACTAAAATTGTTCCTCTTATCCGATGATCCACAGGGCTATCAGTCTATTGTTTCAAAACTATTTCACTTAGTAGGCGGTGTACCTACATAAAATGTTTTATGTGTTTGACAATCGATTGCATCAATAATTTTTCTTCCTCATTTGTGTGTTGATTAAAATTGCATATTGACAACATAGGTATCGACTTTTTCGTTTCTTGGATACATTTTCCGCATCTATTGATAATATCACTGATGAATGATTACTTTCAAGTTTGAAGTTTTCAAGCTCATCAAGATCAGAATTTATGCCAGTATACTGTTCTTATACATTCCAATTTTCATTTCAATGCTGAATATATTGGTAACTTTTATTTCTATATCATTATACATCATATTATTCATCCGATTTGAAGAAGAATGTCAATTCCCAATTTATTTTTTATTCGTCATGTCCTCCTTTTGAATGTTCATCAGATATAATTCAATGTTCCACGTGGCAAATAGAAAGTAGTTGTTTTCTGTTGAATATTCAGAATGATGTGTGCATATACATATTTTTGTCTGAAGGAGAATGCAAATTCTCAATTTCAGAAGTTTTTATATTTTATTTTCAAACTCTTATCGTGTGTGTTCAATAGATATAATTCAATGTTCGTCGTGGTATATAGCTAGGGAAGTAGTTGTTTTCTATTGAATAAACTTAAAAAGAGTAGATATTCTCATCACATAGAGAATGCGAATTCTTTATTGCTTCATATAAATTTATATCCATTTTTGTATGTCCATAATTTATCTGAGAATATTCCTTTTCAACCCCTCAAAATGATGTGCCACTTGGCCCCCCTTTCCATTTGAGTTTCCAGGGGTAAGATCTACCCCTCTTAGGAGGTTGAACCAAGAAGGCAAAAACTAATCATCTCAAGATTCTCAAGTGTCCCCCATGAAAATAGAATCAAATCAACCTGTTTTTCAGATTTCTTATATTATTCACTGGAAGGAAGATATCAAGGGTGGGAAGTTTTCACCCTGTACTTGTATAAGAATTACACAGAAATAGCTAGCATTCGTTCGTTCCATTGGTGTTTTTCCCAGATATCAGGTATAGATTCTTGTCATGGACTTTCACTGAGTGGCACAATATCTAACGGAAAGCAGTCTCTGACCAATGATATTCTGATTGTGACGTAAGCATAATGATGAGGAAGCTAGAACTTTTGTTTTTCTGATTTAAACGTTGAGTCTGTTGAAAATATAATCCACTCACCTGAGTCATATCCCACACAGTATTGTGAACTGGCCAACGTACGTCTGAAGAGTGTGTTGCACTTTTGTTGTTCTACTATTGGAGCCACTATATACATCAAACGATCTGAAGCGCTCGTGTCGTCAGAACTGTCTGTTAGACCCCATCCGGCTATTTTAACATGCTGTCCTATTAAATTTTGGGATAGAATAGGACCCCTGGGTAAGCAAGCTGGTATCACGAAATCTGAATAAAAAAAATTAACACAATACATTGTTTAATCTTTGGAAGAAGTCCATGGAAACTGAAACTAAGAGTGGAGTGGTGAAGTTCATAGATGAAAACCCAAAGTCATCTTCACAATATCACAGTTACAATATTAATTAGAATGATCAAAGATCAATCGTGAAGGAACCTGTTTCGGGCTGATATAAACCCATCATCAGCCAATAGAAAGTATCATAGTTATGGAAATGTAAGAAGGAGACATACGAATATTATAGTTGATAACAGTGCAAACCGGGAAATATGCTTCTTGATTATCACTGTAAAATGATATAAAATAATGTTATGAATTTATTATGCAATAAATTCATCAAAATGTGATTTTTCTGGGTGTAATCAGATTTTTCTAAGTGTAATTATCACCTTTCGGTAATTCAAGGGCACGTGGGCCCTTGTAAAATATGAACCCGATCCTCAACCGATACATTTATTGCATAATGAATTTATAACATAATTTTATATAATTTTACAGTGACAATCATGGGGCATATTTCCCTGTTTGCACTGTTATTAACTATAATATTTGTATGTCTATTTTTTTCATTTCCATAACTAAGATACTTTCTATTGGCTGGTGATGGGCTTATATGTGCCCGAAACATGATTATTCTAATAGTTCATTTCCACCACTGTCCAAATATATTTTTGCAAAGATGTTCGCAGCAAACTCTACTTCAGATTCCCAAGGAAAATAGTGCCATTCCACTCGTTGAGAGTCGAATGCCCGAAATCGTCTTCCGTCAACGCACTATCAGACGAATTTTGCTTGGTCTTAAAACGAATAAGGCTAACGGTCCTGATGGAATTCCACCCATTATCCTCAAAAAATGCCCACCAGAATTAACACCGATTCTCTGCAAGTTGTTTACCGTCTCGTACAGGTCGGGTATTTTTCCATCGTGCTGGAAGACAGCTAGAGTCCAACCAATCCCCAAAAAAGGGAACAAGAACCTGCCCAACAACTACAGGCCCATTGCCCTGTTATCAGTAATCTCCAAAGTGATGGAGAAAGCCATCAATAAGCATTCGACCCTGTTTGGCATGAAGGACTCCTCCACAAACTACCATCATACGGCTTACCACCTCAGCAATGCCATCTCTTATCGAGTTTTCTTTCAGGCAGATCGCTTTACGTGGTGGTGGACGGTGTTTCGTCCGATACCATTGGCATCAATTCCGGCGTTCCACAAGGATCAATTTTGGCACCAACATTATTCCTTCTTCATATCAATGATCTGTTGGGAGTAACAACTTGCCCCATCCACAGCTTTGCAGATGATAGTACGACCCTCCATACTGCGTTCTCTTCCAGGATTCCCATTTCTTCCCAGAAAACTAAGAACTCACGGCGCAGACAGGTCAATGCTGTCAATGAAGACCTTGCTGAAATAACAGCCTGTGGAACCAAAAACCTAGTTGAATTCAACGCTACCAAAACTCAAGCCTGTATTTTCTCTAGAAAGGCGGAACTCAGTATGCCCGATATTGTAATGTCTGGCACCACCATCCCTACCAAGCCCACCATATCTATGCTCGGTATTTCCATCAGCAACACAATTTCATGGGATAATCATGTCAGATCCATCGCAAAAGCTGCTTCACAAAAACTCGGATTCTTGTTTCGTGCGAAAAGCTACTTTACACCTCAACAGCTTCTCATGATCTACAAAGCGCAGATACGGCCTGTTCTAGAATACTGTTCCCACATATGGGGTTCAGCACCAAAACATACGCTGATGCTCTAAGATTCCATCCAGAGAAGAGCCATTCGCCTGGTGGGTGACGCCACACTCACTCACTCTTTGACATCATCGGAACACCGTTGAAACGACCTTTCACTTTTCTATCAATACACGGGAAATGTTCTTCGGAAATCTTTGCTATGGTCCCTTCACTAGCAATACCAGTCAGCACATCCTTTCGTTGTCAACCTCGAAAGATGTCGAACAGTACTTTATCAAAACTCCTTCATCCATAAAACGGCTAGGCTCTGGAATTCATTGCCTGAGGAAGTATTCCCAACAACATAAAATCTCCAGAATTTCATAGGGATTTCATTTCGTGCGCTCCAAGCGATAAAAAAATGTTGTGGAGATGACTTGGTTGCAAAAGGAATCTTGTACGAAAAATTTTGGCCCAGGAAGAACTCTTCCGAAGTCGGCGATAGGGCTCGAGATATTGCCGCAGGCATTCAAGAATTTGTAATATTTCCGTGGATTTTTCAGAAATTTTTTTAATTATTGAAGTAAATCAAAATGCAAAAGTTTTCATTTAGTAATAAATAAATTTGAAGTATGAATAGAAATTCGAAAGGTTGATATTGAGCGGTAGTTTACACTAACAACACTTTCGTAAATGCCATGTTGCCAAATGTTATCCATCTTCAAACTCCTGAGTATGCATATAACGATTAAATAAACAATCTGTCTATGTGTATCAAAGGCAAAACCGTTGTGCTATTGTCAGGCATAAGGACTGAGAGAGCAAAAATATGATCTTATGTGATAATGAAGCTCATCAAGCATCATATAGTTGTTCTTTCATTCGAATTCGTTCATTCAGAAGAAAGTGATAGTATATAGTGCCATATTTATTCAGGTTTTAGATTAGGGGTTGAATTGAGGTCACCAAAACTCAAGTTTGTATATTTTATCTGAAAGAAGCTGTTTTTCAAATTCAATTTCAGCTTCAACTTACCATTGAACTTTGCCGGGCTCTTGAGTAGAATCATATTGATATCGTTTTGATTGGATGCGGATTTATCATATAAATTGAGCAAATACTTCCTAACACCGATATCCTGTGCACGTGGGGCACATACGTCATCTTGGCAGTCAATCACTTTGGTCGTATCATGTTCTCCAAGACGTACCCTAAAAATATGCATATAGTACTAATTACATCCATAATTTCGAGTTTGCAGTAGTAAAAATTATACCGATTCTGTTTGGATCACTCCTCCCTTAGGTATATTATGTATTTGTCTCATCGTTTATAAATTTCACTGGTGAAAGATGAGGACAAAATTATATCGAAACAGTCCTTGAACAAAATCATAGTCAATAGTTCCTAACCACGCAAATGTTATATCAAAATATTTAGATTGGTAGCAGTGATAATTCAAGGCAGGCACATTATCCAGCAAGCTGAAGTAACCAAAAATCGTTTGAGAATGAAGCTCCTTCTATAACATCAAATTGCTTGCTCAAAGTATACAGACACAACAATGCTGACTTGACATTTCTAGGGGAACAGCAGAAATAAACACTAAGAAAGATGGAAAGAACTATGCTGTAATCAATCATAGGCTGTTCAGAAATCACCTGAATTAAACTGACAAGACAAGAATGAACCAGGCTTCTCTATAACACTGAGGCAGGGCCTACTCTTCTAGTAGATAGAGTAGGCCCTGGTCTCTGTTTATGTTCGGTGCTGAGGACATGCGAAACACTTGAAGAGTGAGCCTTAGCACAACGGGAAGGACCTAGTCGAGAATCGGCATAGCTCCACTACTACAAAGCACTATCTCGATTTAGTCGATTTTGCTGACAATAATTGAGGTGAAAATATATGAACTGATATTGATTATTGATTCTCATTATTAGCACGCACACATTATTGTCTTCACCACAATGTGCCGCAGTCACAACATAATATTTCGAGATCAAGGTACAACCACATGTGAATTCGGGTTCGATGTCGAGCAAACTGTATTGGAAGCCCAATAGACAGATAAAGGGGAATTCTCCGATTTTGGCCTCTTCACCACCCACTATTCTGCCAGTGAGTTTGTCTAATCTCGTTTTTCCACAAACATCTGTCGGGAGATATTTCCATGAAGGGTGGTTATTGATGTAGTCTACACCTTTTCCTGAAACGATTAATCATAAATGAATGTTATTGCTCCTTCCAGGGCGAAAGAATGCATTCGAAAACATCGCAAAACATCACAGGGATACGTTATAGTGAGGATATAACTAAGAGCTTCAAATCTATCATATTATAATTCAGTTGAATCTACTGAATTAATAGTTTGCTTTGATCATTGTAAACCCATTTGTAACTTCGTGTATTTTCACTATTTTTATAATCCAAGATGATGATGGCGAAGAAACTAGCTGCTTCTATACGGTATTATATATTTTCATTTTAGTGATTGTGATAAACTCACACAAGTGTCTCAATATTTATTTTTTATTGCTGCGAATCACTAAGGAAAGGAAACGTCATCATAAAAGCTCATTATCATCATTATTAAAGGTAGGTATTATTTGGAATTAAATTATCCTACAAATCATCTGTGCAAAACTTTTTATCATTGGACGAATCTACAATAGAATGCATAAGTAATTCAATGTACCTAACTATATTTTTACATGATTTTTATACGTAGTCAAACAATCGAATGAAGATTTGGAGCGTTGTTCTAGGTGATATATACATTCTTTCTGAACTAACGGAAGTATATCATTTGAACTGAACTGAATCAGTTAACATGCGTCCTACTCACCATTATTTCAACGATTTGAAGTATTTTTAAAGTACCCATATCAACTGATACAGTTCAGTTTGAGTGGATTATTTCACTTCGTTCAAACTGAAAGAATATCAGTTGTTCAATAAAAGGTGATGGCGAATTGAAAAAATGATACCAATAGAGTACATAGTTAAATCAACACCGCCGGCAATGTAATTTCATCAATTATACCATATGTCAGTTTTCATCATTATTTTATTGTATAAGTACCCCATACTAATTGATAGGTGAATATTGGATTGATTTTTTGGAATAATTACCTCCACTTATTGATGATTGATCAACACTTCCATGCGATTTTTGATTGAAAATTTGTTTAAAAAGGTTGACAAAACCTGAAAAAAACTCCATTAAAATAGTTATTTATTATACAAGGGAAAAAAGTAGTAGATTTTAGCTCCAGGTTGTGTTGTCTCCCGACGCGTAGCGGAGGGAGTCAACAAACCGTGAGCTAAAATCTAATATTTTTCCCGTGTATAATACACTATTTTTTTCTGTGACAGAAGAAAGGACGAATCAATATTGAGAAGATATTACATTATTTTGATATCTGAAAATTATCGACGTGAAATTTTAAGTTTTTAACAGTAGGGACACCGCGTTGTAGGCATCTTTATCATTCATTTGAAGTAATCAAATATCTGATGTCACTTCTGTCAGTCTAATTTTGTGATTTTATTTCAAGAAATTGCGAATTCAGTGGTTATTTAGCAATATACGTAACCGTGAAGTCGAATAGAAGATGAAAGGACTTGCAGTTCTTTCTCGGAGACGGTATTATTGACTCATTTTTCGGAACTATAGCACAACAAAAGCCATCAACAGTGTATACATATGTGATATATATCCGGGAAAGAAGTACTCACTTTTTTCCCACGGGAAAAAAGTAATTTATGAAAAGTGACATTTTATAACCTGCCAACAGGGATGAAATGCCAAACTTTTTTCCCGTCACAGAAAAAACAATGTTTCTTCATACACTCTGTGATTCTACTAGCCCATTGCTTCCTTATTTGAACTGTGGTTATAATTACGAAAGTTGTATCTGATTAGCACTGAATCAATTTGCTAAATGATCACATCCAAACACAATCAGGTTGACCAATATGAGTGAGTACAGTGTTTTTCTCATGTAACCATACAGGACGTGGAAAGAAATTCTGAATGATTTTTTTGGAAGTTCCAAGCTCATCAAGATCAGAGTTTATACAAATATACTTCTCCTATATATTTCAATTTTCATTTCAATACTGAACATATTGGTAAGTTATCTTTTTATATCATAATGAACTACTTATCAGATGAAGTGGGACAACCAAAAAGTGACTAATTTTGATGAGCTATAACTCGAACATTTCTTGGCCGATGTTGGATTTTCAACCAAAGGTAGAAAGCGTCATCCTTGGGCAATGCTTCATTGGTGTCGGGTTTATATTTTTGCGATTCGTTCTCTTTGTACAGAGTGTGAATTAAGAGCCGGAAAAATTTGAAATTTTTGACCAATAATTTGGGAAATGGGATGGACCCTAGAATTCTTTTCCAGATGTAGGGTGAATGATTGGTCCGATACCTCGAGACGTCTTTGAAATAGTGTTGCCGTCTAGACTTATACATTCTAGACTCTTGTCTTGTCTTGTCTAGAATATCAAGACAAGATCATCAATATGTCTTGTCTAGATTATCTAGACAAGACAAGACTTTTCATTTTCCATACAAGACTTTTATTCAAAACTCTTGATTATTTTCAAATCTATATTACAAATACGTCGTTTCGCTGGCGCGGCTATGATTTGTTTTGATTGGTTCCTAGAGAGCGGGAGTTTGCATGCACTGGACTGTTTCTACGCAATTTAAGCTAAGCGTCTTATCTAGAGTCGTGAATAATAGACTTTCGTTATATAGACAAGACCGCACTTAGCTTATTTAATCAAAACTTACGCGTATACAACTCTTGTCTTGAAATTTCAAGACAAGACAAGAGTAGGTAAACTCTTCTCTTGTCTTGTCTAGATGGCAACACTACTTTGAAATGCATTTGATAAATCAAGTTGCTATGGAAAAATCGCCATTTTATGAAATTCCGTTTTTATTTTAGAATATGGCCCCTTTTAGTTAAACAATAACAGTCAACATCTGAACTGCAACGAGGGATATTTCCACTGAAGATAATTGACACCAGAGGCGCGCAAAAAGGGGTGTATGATATTTACAAACAAATATTCGTTTTTATTGAAAAAATTCAACAGTTTTATTGATCGTTACAGTTGAAAAAATGGAAAATCTTCAATTATTATGATTTTGGCAAATTCAAATCACCTTTTGCACGCCTCTGAATTTGTCAACATCATGCTAATTAAATGAATGGCAACTTTTATACTGTAACGATCAATAAATCTGTTGTTTTTTCGATGAAAACGTTTTTTTCGTTTCTAAATATCATAAACCCCTTTTTGTGCGCCACTGGTGTTGATTATCTTTAGTAGAAATATCCCTTGTTGCAGTTTAGATGTTGACTGTTATTGTTGAACTAAAAGAGGCCATATTTTGAAATAAAAATGGAATTTCGTAATACGGCGATTTTCCCACAGCAACTCAATTGATCAAAAAAATTTCAAAGACATCTCGATGTATCGGACCAACCATTCACCGAACATCTAGAGAAGAATTCTAGGGTCCCTGACATTTCCCAAATTATTGGTCAAAAATTTGTAATTTTTTCGGCTCTTAATTCACACTCTGTACAAATAGAACGAATCGCAAAAATAAAAAACCGACGCTAATGAAACATAGCCCAAAGATGACGCTTTCTACCTTTGGTTGAAAATCCAACATCGGTCAAGAAATGTTTGAGTTATAGCTTATCAAAATTAGTAAATTTTTTGGCAGTCCCACTTCATCTGGTAAGTAGTTTACATCAAATTCATATCATTCTATTCGATTTGAGAGATAATGTCAATTCTCAATTTCAGAGGATTTTGATTTTTCATGCTTTCTCTTTGGATATTCAACAGATATAATTCAATGTTCGTCGTGGCATATATCCAGGAAAGTAGTTGTTTTCTGTTGAATTAAACGACAAAGAATTCATATCTTCATCACATGGAGAATGCGAATTCTCAATGTATTTCTTCATATTATTATATATATATGCATTTTTTTGTGTTCATAAATATATCTGAAAATTTTCAATACTTTCACCCAATCAAGGGGTTCAAACTTGAACAATGGAAACTTGTAATTTTTATAGACTTCAATCGCAGATTCGTGATCAAGTTTTTTTCAATTCAGAATTTCTTGCCACGTCCTGAATGATGAATATCAATTTATCATACATCCAAAAACGACTATCTAGACTTATATCGACTTATATCTTCACCACAATTTGAATTCACATTTAAATGAATTATAATAATCGCAATTGACTTACACATAAATATTGTGAATAAATCACTAATAACAACCTATTTGATATTCAGAATTCCTAAACCGGCTCATTTCAGTTCAAAACGTCCAAAAATTTCCATAAGTTGCATATTTGACACAACAAGGTCTCATTCTGAACCATATGCCCTAGAGTAATGAAAATTCAATAATTTCAGAAGAAAGAAGATCTGTATTATTTTCATGATTGAAAATTCAATAATAGTTATTCATGTATCAAAGCCGTTAAACTGGCTTTTCTAGAGAGCAGCAAGTTAAATTAACACGCCTAGACCGTTTTATGGACATTTTCTAATTTTACTTTTACCCACTGAAAATACGGATATTTGGCGGAGTTCAAATGCAACTTTCACCATGCATTACTAAAAAAACAATGATATAACTTTAACGACTACCAGACCACTTAAACGCCCTAGGGCTCTGAAATATTTTGAGAAAGATACTGAATTTGGCGAAATCACATAAAAATTACCTGCTAGGTTACCAACCGGAAATAAAATCGAAAGCAGCACAATGTTCAACGGGTACATGGTTTGAGATTTCTAGAAAACTTTGGAGTTGCTCTAATGTAATTTAACACGAACGATTGATTTTTATGGGCATCTGATGATAAAAAAACAATAAATGGCTGGTAACAAATATTTCAATAACGCAAATCGTGATTTGAGAAAAACATTCCAAATTGTCGAAATAATAGCTTATAGGTATACTGAGTGTATTATCTTTGATTTGTAACAATTCAGATAAAAATTACATTCAAAACAATTATTCATTAGACATTTCAATATACTGTATTTTGATTTATTGTTTCTAGAAACGTCAGTAAAAGAATAATTTGTAACGCTGTCAGTGTCTAAAATACCATTTTATGACACTGAATGTATGTCTCTCAAGTAAAGTTCTGTGTGAAATGCCAATTTCAGGATATTCGCCATCTATTCTGAAAGACAGTAATTTTAAAAAACGCCGCTGAATTGATTCGAGGCTGTCGATATGATTAGTATGAGGATTCCAAACTATCGAAGCATATTCCAGCTTCGACCGAACAAATGCATAATACATCAGGCTCTTGGGAGTCGCGACGTCTCTAAAATCTCTAGAATACCGAACAATACAGTCATAAGATTTGCTGGCAGCTGACAAAATTCGTTCGATATGAGGTACAAATGAGAGTTATGAATCACCCCCAGATCTATGAACGTTTCTACCCTCTGTAAGGCAGCATTATCAATAGTGTAGCTGAACTCAATATGAGATTTTAAAGCAAAGGACATCATACAATATATCCCGGGATGAAGAAATAGCTTATTGGAAATACATCATTCATTGATTTTATCTAAATTATCTTGTAATAACTGACAATCAGCAGTATCTGAAATTCTGTGGAATATTTTCATATCTTCAGCATACATCAAACCATTAACATTAATACTATCCAGAATGGCATTGATGAATATGTTGAATAGCAGAGGACCAAGATTTGACCCTTGAGGTACCCCAGATGTAGCACAATATTCTACTGACCTATGACCACTGCACTCAACATATTGCCAAAGGTTCCAGTCTTCGATATATGATTTTATTTTGTTCGAAACGTCAAAAAATGACAAGGTTCTTGCATTGATAACTTGCGAAGCAGTCTGCGAAGTACATACTTTGCGCATTGTATGTAAACTATATGAGACTTCAGTGTCCTCAATCGAGCAAACATCCAAGAATCATCTATTTCTGAATGTTTAACAATAATTGAGGCCTTTTATGCCAGTTCACCGATATTTTTCATATTAAGCTAAGCATATTACTACTGTTGAAATGTTGTTTGTAACTTTGCTCACCTCGACTATTTTTTTAACGGTCACGCCTCGTTAAAATAATCAGTTCTCGATAGCCAAAGAAGCATTTCGCGCACTAGTTACTAAAATCACTTTTGGGATCTAGAAATAATTACTTCATGGAATTTGGTTGCATCACAGATCGAATGAAAAGTTGAGGAAATCAAATCAATTAAGCGATTTTATTGAAACTCAATTTACATAGAATACATGCACCCAACGTCTCTAATTCTCATATCAGCAGGCTACATCTTCATCAATTTCATTATGTTTCTTATCATAGATAGATGTTATCCAATATCCAGGGCATGTAGTAGATGCTACTTGTATAGATAGAAGGAGATTCGCCGCAATATGATCTTCCAAATGATACCAAACCTGGAATGAAATGACAACGAAATTAATAACAATATCTTCCTTGGGAATATCTTGTAGTGTGGTAGAGACTAAAAAGTATGCTTTCTCCTGATTCATATTGAGAAAAATGGATGCATAGAGCAAATACGTTATCATATCTAAACCTGAAAGAAAACCTTGCACGGAAAAATAAAGTGTGAAAAATCCAATCCAGATTGCAAGTCAGACATGTCTGATGAGAAAAAAATCTATCCCCCTTTCTCAATAATTCATAGGAAGATGTTGAGTGGGTAGATATGCCTACTTGACCAGAGTCTGATGCATCCATGAGCCTTATTGCTCAAATCCATAGTATCCTTATTTTGGCAAAAATTTATTCAACTGACTAACCTCGACTTTCTTGGTGATAACCTTTTGAATTTAGATCAATTTATTCAAAGTATCCACACAAAATCGTAAGTAGCAGAGGGCTTAGGTATTTATCATGAAAGAAAGGAGAAGCAGGAATGAACATAGCCAAATCGAAAACCCATAATCAGTGATTCTGGTTATAAATAGGGAGTGTCGAGTATATTTATTTGTTACATTTTTTCTTCTTTTTTTCGTCGTTTGGAAGATATGGAAGAGAATTCCCATCATTATCATGGATCATGGTACATGCATCGTGCATATATTCCAAGATTAATGATGATTAGATCGATAGATAGAGATATGTTTATTTAACAACATCATACATTTGTAGCAAGTATATAATCATCAAAACTAATGAAAACTGATTGAAAAAATGAACGCAGATTGATAGAAATATTGCATGGGATCAAATTCTATATTGGAATTCAAATATGTCTCCAATAGAGTAGAAACAATGTTCGCTTAGATATCTCTCGATGAAAGATTTGAATTTGGTGGATTCAAATTTCATTGGGGATTTTGTTGTATATAACTTCCAGAATACAACGGATTTGGTTAAGACTGTCAATTTTCTTGGTTGTTAATGAAGATGGAGCCTTGAGGTTTTCATGTTCCTTCCTCACTTTCTTGTAAAATTAAAGATGGTATACTGTATACTTTTGGACACTTCAATATCTACGGAATTAAGCAACGTTATTTACCGAAGGGCTATTTGATAACAACCGATAAACGAGGAAGTCTCAACCAAACTGGGATACATCACTGTAAAAATACCAAATAAGGATTACCCCGAGCCATACAATTAATGGCTTCAACCCAGCAAATGCAAACATCCCTGGGTTAAATCATGGAAACCATCCATATTTCTCAGAGTGGTCCAATTGATTTTCACATGAAAAAGCTATAGAAAAACTAGAGAGAAGATAAAGTTATATTCATGTGCAAACAGAACATCGCAGTGGAGGTTCAATGTATCGAAAGCTCGTACTTTCAACATCCCTGAGATGTTTTAATGTTCGCTGGGTAATGCTCTCTGAAATCAACACCCAAGTATTGGTACTGGTTGTAATATGTTTGATTCAGTATGGTTAATAATAAATTGATAACTTATATTTGGGAATAATGTATATTCTGACTTTTAACTTCAAACAATAAATCGTTGCCGTCTCAACGTAGATCATATTATGAAATACAGAGTACTCATATATCACATGTCCCTCTCTTTACGAATCTAATCTATTTGGTTTATCAATTTTTTCCCCACTCCTAGTACATCGATGACCATGTTCAGCATTTTCAGCATCGTCGTTGTTTGACTCATTAACTCCTGATTCCTCTCCTTCATTTCTTCCATCATCTTCATAAATTCCTTCATTTCTTCCATCATCTTCATGAACTCCTTCACTTCTTCCATCATCATCCTCTAATAATTGTTCATTTGTTATCTCATATATTCTTCTGTTCCCAGATTCAGATTCGGTGATTTCTTCAATGTCACTTATTCTATCTATACTTGATTTTGCGGACTACCACTTTGTCCCAAGTGAAAAATTGGATTGAAATAAGGAAGATTTAATTGTGCTTGTTTCGATTCATCATAATATTCTGTATCGATATGAAATGGCTTCAGATTTTGTCTGTACCTTCTATAAATTGAGTTGCTTTCTTCATCTTCTATATCATAGTCATTCCTGCTATTTCGTTTTATTACTTTCGCCAGTTTCCATTCATCACGCCTTTGATATAATACTTTCTGTCCAATTTTCAAATCATTCAACGTTTTTGTACTTCTATCATGATAATTCTTCTGTCTAATTTAATGTGACTGCATGGTGTTACGTATATCATCAATATTGAATATAGTAGGAATAACTAGGCTACTTTTAGAAACTGTTATTAAGGTACGGAGTTTTCTTCCCATTAAAAGCTCAGTGGGGAAAGGTAGTTTATTTTTAGGAGTATCATTATAGTAAAGGATAGCCAAAAGAAGTTCGTTATTTTCAACATATGTAACAGAACTAGATTTTTCAGTGGATTACAATGATTTCCGAATTTGCTGATAATTATATCAAAATTAGTTTGAACTTGACCTTCGCCATATTCGAATGTATTATAAATTCGCAAACCTTCGTCACCAATTAAATTCAACAATATGGCTATCCTTACACTATCCTCCTGTTTATTCTTTCCACTTGCAATCATGTATTGGCTAAATTTTTCCAAAGCTTCCAATTTTCGGAAAAATTACCATTGAAGTCCATTGCTGAAGGTGATCTTGATTCGGAACTCATTTTTAACGGTCTCATCAACGTTTTGCCGCTGCCACCATGTAATATGTTTGATTCAGTATAGTTAATAATGAATTGATAACTTATATTTGAGAATAATTTATATTCTGACTTTCAACTTCGAACAATGAATCGTTGCCGTCTCAATGTAGATCATATTATAAAATACAGAGTACTCATATATCACACTGGTGAGTGTGGATGGTGACAAATACGCTGCGGCCTAATTAGATCTATTCTGTCCCATCTTCTACAGTTCCTTCAGTAATTTGAGGATTTTGGAAGGATATATATTCGTGATATTCATCCCACATTCAGCTGGGATGATCCCCGTAAATTCGACACCTCGTTATGACAGCATAACTCACTAGCAAAATGTGGTAGAACAACCAGCATAAATCCCATAAATTTTCCTCAAAGACTGAATATCTCATGAACATGAAGTGAATAAAAGACACTTGCCTATTTGATAATGAATGCGAGACAAACCAATCTTGTTCAGCCAGGTCAAAGGTCCTCCAGAGTCGCCGTCGCAAGAATCCCTTCCGTCAGACACACCGACGCAGATCTGGCTGTCGTCCAGCGGAAGCTGAGAGTATATTTCCTGACATGCGCACAAGTCTCTCATGGGCACCTCGACGTATTTCAAGGATCTGGACAGTGTTTCGGCGGAGGCCTGGTCGCGCCCCCAACCAATAACGGTGAATTTTTCCCCGAAGAAGGACTTTT